AGGTTGCAAATCCACAGAAGGCAAGCAGAGACTGATGGCCAGACAGGGGACCTACCACGAGCACTGAAGCCATACCAAGGCCACAGCTGCTCCTCTCAGTGCTAAAGGGACCTGGTGCTCCTTAGAGGTAAAGGGAAATCACTGTCCCAACATACTCTTTGGAGAAAATTAAATACAACTCAGAAGCTGAGCTCTTCTTGCTGCCTATCCCAAGTCAGAGAAACCCAGGGCAATGAGAAAGAGGGGAGCTAAGTAGAAATCTACTCTGCTTGGGAGATTTGAGGGAAACACTGATTAGTTTTAGACTCTCAGGAGTGTGGCCTCTGAGCCAGCACATGTCTTAGTCTTTTTGAGCTGCTACAACAAAATACTTCCAGGTGCATAATTTACAAGCAATAGAAATTTGTTTGGGAGCCTGGAAAGTAGAAGATCAAGGTGCTGGCAGATTTGGCGTCCAGCAAAGACTCTATCCCAGCACCATAAATGGCATCTTGCTGCACTGACGTCTAGCAGCAGAAGCCCAAGGGGCTAGGGTGCTCCCTTCGACCTCCTTTATAAGGCTCCTTGCCCACATGACTGACTCCCCTCCTGAAAGCCTTACCTTTTAACACATTCACATCAGTGGTTAAGTTTGGACATGTGAATTTTGAGGGACACATTCGGATCACAGCTTGAAGTTTGTGTTTTCACAGATTAGGGTTTTCCAGTTTGATTCGTGGCTATGAGTCATTTGCAGAATGCCTCCCCAGGTGTCCAGGGTCCAGGTGTCTGTCCACATCATGGGTTTTCTTCATGGGACCCATCAGTGATGCCTGTTCCCTTTGGGCACCTTTCCTGTCTGACAGAGAGAAGTGCAACAGGCCTGTGACAGAGCTTATTTTCCACTGGGACTGGATGGTGCTTCCAGGTTGAGAGAGGCAGGGTGCCTCAGCTTCTCCTAAGGGTGTTCTCACATTTGGGATGCTCAGCTTCCTAGCTTGATAGAAAAATCCAATTCAGCCATGGAGTTTCCTTTGTCCAAGTACTTGTGAAGTCTTGTGGCCAGAGAAGCACCTCACTTGTATTGTTCTGCAGGGCTCTGAAAATAGAATTGCTAACACACATCCCACTTTTCCTCCCAGGAGTCTGCATCTGGGCCTCTGGGGCCGCTCTCTGCAGCCCTCTGAACAGCCAGAGCCTGCGTGCTTGTTTTATTATGTATTCAAGCAGAAACACATTTTTGTCAGAGGGATTAAAAGGCAGTAGTTAGAAGTATCTGCCCAGATTTCTGTGTATTTGCCTATTGCCAGGGGAAGTTGAGGGGTTGTCAGTGTGGATGCAAGGCTTTCTCTGTGGGCTGGGGTGGCCCAGTGCTGTTCTTCTTCCTCTGGGACACAGTATAGGACATCAAAGACCAGCAGAGATGATCTCCCTCCTACTGCAGCTGGAGCACTGGTTCCTTTTGGAGGAAGCCTGAGAACAAAGAAAAATCTTAACAATTCAGGGAAGTTAATGGATAGGAAGTTTTCTAACTTAGTAGAAGGAGTATTGTAAATCTTGCCTTCTATTTTTAATTAGACAAATGTTATCTCCACATATTCCAGGCAGCTAATCTTTGAGGATGTTGGTTATGCAGGTTTTGGAATTTGTGTAATTTGTACACCAAGAAAATATATTTCATATAATAAGACCAACTTTTTCAAAAGGATTAGAAATGTGTCTATGTAGAGGGAGAGCAAAGAAAATTTAAGTCCTGTGCAATGCAGAAACAACCAAAGGAAATAAATAAAATTTCCATTGCTACTTATAAGTACTTTAGAAATGATGTAGAATGCTAATAACATTTGGCTAACAGTGTCGTCAAGATTTGGTTTTGTTTTAATTTACCCTTACAATGTTTTGAATAAGGAATGATGTGCCTTGGAGCTCAAGTTCAGGAATTGCTTTATTTGTGCTTCATTTAATGAAACCCGTGGCTTGATGCTCATCGCGTTCCTTGTGGACCTGTTATGCTGGGCATTTGCAACTCATGGCCATGTGTCTCAGGATGAGATGCTGGCAAACACACATGCTGCACTTCTTGGCTAAATGACAAGCGCTTCACATTGCTTTCCTGGCACTTTCCCGTCTCTTTGAGTTGCTCAGGGCTCCTTAATGCCCTGTATTTGTGCTAAGGTGCTCACCTGGTGTCCTGCAAGACCACCAGCTTCACAAGTCACTTCTCTCCCTCTCCAGGTAGGGGGAGGTCCAGGAGGCCTGGGGCCCTTTGTCCCCTTTAGACGCTGGTTCTAATCCAATTTCAAGAAGAGACTTGAAAGTAGTTTAAAGTTAGCCATTGCTGTCATCTCAGTTTTTGAATAATGCTTTTTAAATAAGGCTAGTTTTAATTCATACATTTATTTTACAACATAAGATTTTTAAAAAAATTTTATTTTATTGGTACATTTTAGGTATACAATATGACATTCATCATTGGAAATTTGCACCCTTACATAATCCATCTTGGTTCTTATTTTTTCTCCCCTCCCTGCCCTCCCCTCAAACCCTCCATCCCTCCCTATTTACAAAGACTTTGTTTCCATTTTTTCATTTTCTCATATTAATTCCATTCCCTTCTTTCATTTCCCCTACCCCTCCCACTTCCTTCCCCTTTGCCCCTTTTCTTCCTATTTCACATTACCTATTACACCTTTTAGTCCTTATTTACACTTTCAGTTTCGCACACTAGAGAAACTATTTGGTTTTTAGGCCATCCTCTTAAGTGAAATAAATAGGACACACATGTGTAAATACCGAATAGTTTCTCTGGTGTGAGAAACTGAAAGTGTAAATAAGGACTAAAAGGTGTAATAGATAATGTGAAATAGGAAGAAAAGGGGCAAAGGGGAAGGAAGTGGGAGGGGTAGGGGAAACGAAAGAAGGGAATGGAATTAATATGAGAAAATGAAAAAATGGAAACAAAGTCTTTGTAAACAGGGAGGGATGGAGGGGTTGAAGGGAGGGCTGGGCAGGGGTGAAAAATAAGAACCAAGAGAGACTATGTAAAGGTGCAAATTTCCAATGATGAATGTCATTATATTGTATACCTAAAATGTACCAATGATTAGGATGAATAATCGATAATGCAAAATAGGAAGAAAAGGTCCAAAGGGGTAGGGGTAGTGGGAGGCAGGGGAAAGGAAAGAAGGGAAAGGAAAAATGATGAGAAATGGAAAAAATGGAAACAAAGTCTTTGTAAATAGGGAAAGGTGGAGGGGTGAAGGGAGGGCTAGGAATGGGGAAAAAATAAGAACCAAGATGCATCATGTAAAGGTACAAGTGCCCAATGAGAAATGTAAATGTTATATACCTAAAATGTACCAATAAAAGAATTTAAAAAGAGTATTGCCTCAAATGTGCATCCATTTAGATATAAATATCTCTAATTTCTCATTTTTCATGGCAGAGTAGTACTCCATTTTTTAAAAACCACATTTTCTTTATCCAGTTGATGGGCATTTGGGCTGTTTCCAAGTTTTAGCTATCACAAACTGTGCTGCTATGAACATGGGCGCACATATATCCCTGTGGTATGATTCTTTTAATTCTTTGGGGAAGATCCCCAGCAGTGGAATAGCAGGGTCAAATGAGACTTCCAGTCCTAGTTCTTTGAGGTATCTCCGCACTGATTTCCACAGTGGTTGCACCAGTCTACACTCCCACCAGCAGTGGAGCAGGGTTCCTCTTTCCCCACAGCCCCACCAGCATTTACAACATAAGATTTTAAAGTATTAGTTACATACCTCTGGCTCCCACTTTTCTGAATGCATGACCTAAGCTACATGGTTGCAGGTCACTTGGTGTTTTACAGAATTTTATTCTTTATCTAAATTTCACTATGCTTTGCTTAATAACTTTTTTTCTTTTAAACATTCCTGAACACTCTCCCTCTTAAAGATTTTAATTACTTTTGGAAGAAAAGCCCAAGCAAGAAGAACAAAAAAGCCATTATGGCCTGGGTTTAACAAAGCCCCGTGTGCTGACATTGCCATATACGGAGGAAGTCCCCACTGTTCCTGTCTCTTCATGCCTCTTATCCAAGCCATACCCCCAAGAAGCCACAGCTACTGACAGTCCCAGTAGCTCTCTCTCCCCGCAGGAGCAGCTGCATTGTCAGCATGATCGCAGCATTTTTGCTCCCTTTTTAGAGTCTCAGAGACTTCTGTCTTCCCATGCTTCTTTCTTTTCTCTTTCCTTCTTTCACACCTTTCCTTCTTTCCTTTGAGAAGTTTTATTTAATGTCCAATGTGTGCAGATAAGTTGCAAATCTCATACACAGCATAGAATTGGGTTTTACTTTGTGATATGATTCGAAAATAATTTATTGAGGTAAACCCCTTTACAAGTGAATTCATCTGATAAACTTTCAGGGTAGCCCAGAAACAAGTTCCATATATATTATTTGAAGACTTTTGAAGATACCCTATTTTGTACAAGAGTAAAGTTAATCCAAAATAGAGGAAGATAACTTAGATTCCAAATTTTATATGAGAAAATATTATCATGGTTTTCTCTTCTCACACAGATGATTAAAATAGCACTGAATAGATATTTTGTTGTGACTGGAACATTGACTTAAAAATAAAGCTGAATTTTTGCTTAACTCCGGGGTTATTATTAGTGAAGTTATAAGGTAGACTTTACAGCTTTGATAACAAAAAAGTGAAACAAATAGCAAAATTTCCAAGACTTATTAACTCATTTAGGTTATCTCATTGTTATGCATATACTGTTCGTGTTTTCATGTGTCTATTTATTAATACAACCACTTGTGGTTTCTACAATTAAGTGAACCCTGTTTAAGGCCCTAGTGACACAAAAGTAATATTAAGCAGTATCTCTCAGCTCAAAAACTCATTGTGTAGTTTAGACCATGAGGGAATAATTTTTTGTACATATAATTTTCCTGCAGAATTTTTAGTAAGGATTTCTTCCTTTCTTTGGATGACATACCTAAACTATACTGTGCCTTTTTCATGCAGGGCAGCCACTGATCACAATGTGGATAATACAACCGAAATACTCAGGGAGTGGCTGAAAAATGTACAAGGACTCTATCACTATGTGGAGTGGAGGCCGATGAATGAACCAGAGTGAGTAATAAAACCAGTTTTGTGAACTCATTATTTTTCTTTCCTTCTTAACTAACTCTCCAGCCATTTGGATTTCCAGTCTTGAGGACACATGTGACTTTTCATGGTCTTGCATCTCTCTATCCAAAGGAGTTACAAATATCTGCTATTTCCCCCCAGTCTTCAGTGTTCTCTCTTTACTCCTACAGCTGCCAGCCACGTTCAGGTTTTTGTTAGTTCATAAATAAATTACTACAGTGTTTTATATGTATGTGTGTATTGTATGTGTATGTGTAATGAGGAATGAACTCAGGGCCTCACTCTAGGCAAGGACGCTATGACTGAGCTACATCCGTAGGCTTTTTTAAATTTTATTCTTTGAGACAGGGTCTTGCTAAGTTGCCCAGGATGACCTTGAACTTGCAGTCTTTGCACCTTAGCATCCCTGGTAGCTGGCATTACAAGTGTGCACTATTGTTCACAGCTTATATTTTTATATATTGGTATTATTTATTGATATTTTGAGCATAAGGCTTTTATACTGGAGGAATTATCATCAAAAGTTTGTGGACTTTCTATACACACCTTGCTTGTGTCACTTATCATACTTTGGCCATTATTATGTAGTAAATAATTAAAGAGTTTTATTTATTAGCTGCATAGTATCCATTGTATGGACATACTAAAATTATTTAGTCTGATGGGCATTTAGGTTGTTTCCAATCTTTTTTTTTTTTTAATTTCCAGTCTTAATTATGGCAATTTCTTAGTCACTTCTATGTCCAAGTCATCCTACACACCATAGTATCAAACCAATCTACCTAAAATATAAATGAAGTGGTTTCATTTTTCTATTACAAAAACTCTAATGGATCTTGAGTAACTATAAATCAAAGTTCAAATATCTAAGTCTTTTAATATTTAAGAGTTCAAAGCTTAGCACTCACATTTCCTGTTTCTTCCCCAAAGAAAATCTGCTTTATCCTGAATGTCCCTTTTATTTTCAAGCCCCAATTTTTTGCTTATGCATGTCCTAGAAATGCCTTTCCTTCTTTGTAACCAACTCTTATGCTAAATCACATGTACTACTAAAAGCTATTCCCAGTCGTTCCCCTTATAAAGATTTACCTTTCTTTCAACAATTGGATTGCTTGTTTCATATATGATCCTTTTTGACACCATGCATATAACTAGAATTGTTAATTAACTATACAACTTATGCATTTTTTCTAAATAAATTGTAGGTTCTTTGGCAGGGGCTAGATCATGTATACACTTTATAATTCCTCCCAGTGCTATATTCTTGGCAAACACTAAATTAATATTTTTGGATGAACAAATGAGTAGATAAATGTATTTAAAACTTATTGTAAATGTTCCCAAGGCTATTATAGTTCTACCTTAAGGAAGGAATAGAATAGATGAGTTGCCTGATTTCTTCCCAGTGGAAGTCATTTATTAAAAGCCAAATTTCAGGCTGGAGATTTACCTCAGTGACACCATGGCTGCCTCACAAGTGTGCAAGGTCCTAAGTTCAATTCCTGGTACTATAAAGAAAAAAAAGCCAAATTTGTATAACACTAACAAAGGTCATTCTAGGACAAATTTGTTCTTTTAGTCTCTCTATATATTTAGTATATCCAAACATATAGATATACTAAACATATAACAATAAAGTTTGAATACTATGAAAGATTTTAAACACTCCTTTGAAGTTTCCCATAATGGAATTTGGTTTCTTTTTTTTTAAAAAAAAACACAAAACTACACAGAAAGACTTTGTGTACCTACCTCACAGTCTGATAATGTTCTCTGCAACCAGATTTTGACTAGATGCATTATATGCCAAGGTCAGTGTGAAAAATACTAGGGAAGCCATTATTTTTTGGCAATATATTGAGAAAAACAGGAATTTCACTGATTTTTTGTTGGGGCAGTAATTGGGGAAGACATTCCCGAGAGTTCTTGTGCTGTACATAGTTTTATTAACCTTACTTGTTTAGTTACAGTCCTTTTTTTATTCTTACTAGAACATATTTGCTGTACATGATGATTATATTATTGTGGAGGTTGGTACGTGTACATAACACATCTTAATGCTTTGTATTCCCCTTGTCCTCCCTTCCTTCTCTCCTCCCTCCTCCTCTAGCTCTTCTTCCTATTTGCAGAGGATTTTTATCTCTTATTTCATATTATCTGTTTTATTTTGCTCATTAAATTATTTGTAATTTAGGTCTCTCATATAAGAGAAACAATGCAATATTTGTGCATGTGTGTCAGCAGTCTCGCCGTTGTGATTTTTCATTCATTAAAGCAAACGTACAGTCAGCACAGCTACAAAAACTTGAAGTGGTGGCCAATTTGGGGGCTCCTGTGACAGCACCAATGCCTGTCCCAGTTGGGGGTTTTCAGAAGGATTCTGGAGGGTACACTGACCCACTGACTTGCCCTCGAACCCCTGGGCTCAATTCGAGTACAGAAATTAAAAAGTCTTGGCCTGCCTGGCTGTTTTGTGGATATTAAAAGAAAGCCCTAGGACATATTGTATATATCTGTTCTCTGTTCCCCGACCTCACTTTACCAGGGTTAAATCAGTGTGTTAAGCTCTATGGAATCATTTACTGAGACTCCACCAACTAAACTAAACCTTTGTTTTTCCTCAGAAACTTGTAATTTTACACTGAAATATATATCGATATACATCAAATTTACTTGATGGCAGGATTTATTTTAAAAAGCATCAAAGAGCATGAGCTTTGGGACTAAGCTGCCTGGATTTGAATTCTGATTGTACCCCTTATTAACTGCAGCACTCACTGGTCAGGTGGTTTTCCTACTCCACACCAATATCCTCACCTGTGAAATGGGGAGTAAGCGGGTCATAGGACTCTTGCTAGAACCCACTGAAATGCTTCATATACAGATTCTTGTGTTCAGTAAGTAGCAAGTTTCTTAATCTCTCATTGCTCAAATTTCCTTATCTATGATGTGGGAATGGTGATGGCAATAATTGTACTCATCCCTAGAGTTGATGGAGGATTAAATGAGTTAAGTATGTATAACCATTTAGGACTTAGCCTGGTACCTGTAGGACTCAGTAATTATAAACTATTAATATTATTCTCCTTTCAGGTCTTATCCTGATGAGACTGGGCCCAAGCACTGGCCAAGCTCCCGGTTTGCCCATGTCATGAAACTCCGACAGGCGGCCCTTCGAACTGCGCGGGAGAAATGGTCAGACTACATTCTGGTAAAAACTGATCCTTGATTTGTTTGCAACTGTTATCCAGAACGTGTCCAAATAAGTTGTCCAAAAACCAGGACCATGGGAACAATGAAAACAACCTTTGTTTAGACACCATCTCCCCAATAAAAGGCTCACAAGAAAATTCTGGTAACAATATGGTGAAGCCTGGATTTCATCTCTAACTCACTCCTGATAGACCAAATTCTTGAACCAGTTGATCTATTTTACGTAACACACGTAAAAGACTCTGAGTCTTTTTATTAGGTAATTCAATATAAATTGTCTCAACTTTTTGGAAGAATTTTAGGAATATGAGAAAATGAGTATATCAGAACACCTCTGAAGCTCTGTTCCCTTTTGCTCCTGGTATCTTGGAGAATGAAATCTCTGATTTGGCTTCCTGTTTGTTTCCAATTCTGCTGGGTTCTTGTAGAGAATTCTCTCCATTGAGAGGTTCCATTGTTTTCCCTGGTCCAGAAAAAAGCTGGAATTGATGATGATTGGAAATCAATGCATCTTCATCCTCGGTAAACCTGTCTCAGTTGGAAAGGAGGAAAGCTCACTAGGAGAAAATAGCTCCCTCTTCCCTGAAAGACATTTATTAAGTTTATGGACATCTGCTTTCACTACACTGTGATTCCTAAAGGGAATGAATACTTTTGACCCGTGTCCCTCTCCAGGCCCTCAGACACTCCAAATATCAGCCTAACAATTTATTGCATACATTTGTAACAAAAATGTTTCATAGAACTTTTCACATTGTACTGACAATATTTAACATTGTATGTAACTATTTGAATGTTATTGAAATATATGAATGCCAAACCACAAATATTTTAGTAAGCAATTTGACTTTTATAGGAATGAATGCTTCTGATGATTTTTAATTGTGATGAAAGATATATGACATAAAATCCATCATGTTATCTGCACAATTCAGTGATCATTTATTTCTTATGGTAGAATCTGTTACTACACTGTCTTCTATAAGTGAATCAATGTTAACATGGGGCCCTGCAAAGAATGAGAATCAGAGTTAATGTAAACTTCTGCTAAGAAATTCATGCCATTTGGCTAATATGGATTGATATAATGTACTTTAATTTTTTTTTTTTTTTGGTACCGGGGATTGAACTCAGGACCTTGCACTTTTGAGGCAGGCGCTGGAACCACTGAGCCAAATCCCTGACCCATCGATATAATGTACTTTAAACAAAATTCTACTTGTAACTTTAAAATACCATTGATGGATCTGTTCTGGGCCATTCTGGCCTAGAAAATATAAATAGATCTGGCCATCTGTATGGACAGTGGACACTCAGTAAGTGTTTTTGAATGAATCATTAAGTATTTAGAAGCTGTTAATATTTTTTACTTAAGCCATTACCAAGGTTGGGTCCTGCTAACACCAATCCATTGCTCAGTGGCTCATGTAGAGCTGAACATGTGGAAGTTAGACTAAATGTATTATGATGGAGTGAAAGCCACCCAACTGCAATGGGGTAACTAAGGAGGCTACAGATACTGGTCCAACGTTTCATGAGCCTTTAGATGTGGGGATTATTCTTAAAGCTATTACTGAAAAATGCCTTTGCACTTGACATTTCCTTTTCTTCCCTTAGTTCATAGATGTCGACAACTTCCTGACTAACCCACAGACTCTGAACCTAATGATTGCAGAAAACAAAACCATTGTGGCACCCATGCTGGAGTCTCGGGGCCTGTACTCTAACTTCTGGTGTGGAATCACACCTCAGGCAAGTGTTTTGGTTCATGAATGAGATTTAACAAGGCAATAGCATCTCCCTTACCCTTTTTCATGTTTCCTCCCTTGAAACATGCAGGTTACTAGAGCAAACATTTCAGAAAAGGAGGTAAAGCCAGGTCTAGAACCCAGTGGGCTCCTCTATAATAATTATCAATACATATTGGCTTAGAATCTCAAAAGTAATCAATAAAGCATGCTGGGATTTGTATCCTCCCTCCCCCAATTCAGAAATTTTAAAAGAAAAATTACAAAGTTACCCTAAGAGCACTGTAGAAAAACTTAGAAATGGAAAAAAAGTAAAACTACAACAATGTCCATATGTATCCCTACCACTGTAAGAACACCATAAAGAGAAGTTTTCATGTTTTTAATAATTATATTATCATTATAGGTACACTGTAATTTACTTAATCTTTCTCTTAGTTTGAACAACATTGTTTGCAACTTTTAACTATTATAATGACATCATGATTAATATAAATGTTTAAATTTAACATTATTTCCTTAGGATAGCTTCTTTTTTTT